TTTTATATAACTTTCAACATCCAAAATTGATATGGATACTCAAAGGAAAGAGAGAGCCTGGAAGGAAATTTGAAATGATGACATTCCAAAGTACTGAAAAAATTTGTCTTCATTATCAATCAAGTGTCTAAACAATGTCCAGTGTTCTCCCTCAGCTTTTCGTTCTTTTAGAGCATCGTGAATCCAGTACCGTCGTCGCTGTTTTTGCGTTACTTCTTCTTCCTCGACCAAAATAATGGCAATTATTGTCAATTGTCTGATAGATAACTTTCTAATAGCCATACCGTCGCTTTTTTAATACTATCCGCAGGTAGGCGCAACAGTAAAAACGTACAACAACTAACAGATCTGGTGCTGCACTTAATGGGATCCGAACGGGGTATCTACAGTTTGCATACACGGGCATAATACGCGTTTCATACGAGAATAGAACGCTGCTGGTCCGTTGCAGTGGGCATAGTGTTCGGAACGCTTTCTTACGTGCTTGACACGTTCCTGTTACGGTCCTAGTATGGAACGGTGTAGTGGGCAAAGACCTTAAATTTAAGAAAAACACTTTTTCAGAAACAAGTTCGAAGCGAAACACATCAAGCTTATTTTTGAACAAGGTTGCAACATAGCATCCGAAACGTCAAACATTTTTTTCAAAAGACGCACGGCTTAACCCGAAAGTTTCTAGTTCTAGATCTAGTGATAGTACTATTATTAGTTCTAGTTTTAATTTAATTAACACCAACCGTGAAAGCCTTCGTACTTATATCACCTACTATTAACTTAAAAATATTGTAAATTGCGATAATACTTTATTCAGATAATAATTTTTGGTTCTGAAAAGAACCGGTCGTTGTTTCGTAGGGATGTTTATATTGCCATTTATTTGGAACTTGTGTACTTGGTAACAGCCTTGGTGCCTTCGCTTACAGCGTGCTTTGCCAATTCTCCAGGTAACAGAAGTCTGACGGCAGTCTGGATTTCTCGACTGGTGATCGTTGACCTTTTGTTGTAATGAGCCAAACGAGACGCTTCCGCGGCAATTCGCTCGAAAATATCATTCACAAAGCTGTTCATGATGCTCATAGCTTTACTCGAAATGCCAGTGTCAGGATGAACTTGCTTCAATACCTTGTAAATGTAAATAGCGTAGCTTTCCTTCCTCTTGCGCTTCTTCTTTTTGTCGGTTTTCGAAATGTTTTTCTGCGCTTTACCCGCCTTTTTAGCTGCTTTTCCACTAGTTTTCGGTGGCATTGTTGATTAGTTTATAAAAATACTTATCGATGACAAGATTTTGATATCGTAAACAATACTCGCGTGGCGTTAACAAACAATTCACGCTGCAATGTTAAAAAAAAAAGGCCGCGTTGCCGTTTAAAAAGTAGTAGCGTCGTATCAGTAGGCCACGCCTCCCGTTGCTACCGCTTGGTTGACGGCCGCTATTGGTCGGGGAGTCGGATCAGATGCGTATAAATATTTCAAGAACCTTAAATTTCGTCATGTATTGAAACGTTATCATTACGACGATACCGTTTACATTGAAGCATTTTTTTTGAAGTTTTCGACACGCTAACAAGTCAATTAAGCCATGTCGGGCCGAGGAAAAGGTGGAAAAGTTAAAGGGAAAGCAAAGTCCAGATCCAGTCGCGCAGGATTACAATTTCCTGTTGGTCGTATTCATCGATTGTTGAGGAAGGGCAATTACGCGGAACGTGTAGGAGCTGGAGCTCCCGTATATTTAGCGGCCGTAATGGAGTATTTGGCAGCCGAAGTTCTCGAGTTGGCCGGTAACGCTGCGAGAGACAACAAAAAGACTCGTATCATCCCTAGACATTTACAACTGGCCATACGTAACGACGAAGAATTGAATAAATTACTATCAGGAGTGACGATTGCTCAAGGAGGTGTACTTCCGAACATTCAAGCTGTTTTGTTACCTAAAAAGACCGAGAAAAAACCTTAATTTAATTACAACTTGGCCACACCATCATGTTAACAAAACGGCCCTTCTCAGGGCCACAAAAAATATAACCGAATAATGAACTATCGATGTCTACGGTTGTGTAAATGTATAAAATTTTTGAATGTATGTGTTAAACGATAACATACATATGTTATTTTCTTTTTTATACACATACTTTCAAGTAGCATACATATACATATGTGTGTTCAGGTGGGCCAAATTGGACATTTTTAAAGAGAAACTCCTCTTTCTATAAGAGATAAAGGAAAAATGATATGTGAAAAATGTCTGAGGCTCGATTTTTATAACAAATTTAATGGCTAAAACCGCATATCGATATCTCTCACGGTTTCAGAGATACAGGATGTTTTTAAAAAAAAAAGTGCATTTTCGAAAAGTCAACTTTTTTCTCATTGATAAATCTTCCTTTCTGTGAAAACATTTCTAAAGCAACTTTTTTTGTAGAATTTGTTGGAATAAGTTAGCTTTCCCTCAAAGCAATATTTTAGTACTTACTTGCTTTGGAAATTCACAGAAAGGAAGATTTTTTTAATAAGAAAAAAAGTTATCACGACTTGTCGAAAATACACTTTTTTGAGAAACACCTTGGTTTTCGCTATTAAGTTTCTTAGAAAAATCGAGCCTTAAGCACTGATCATTTTTCCTCTATCTTTTATAAAAAGAGGAGTTTCCCTTTAAAAGTGTCCAATTTGTTGAAACACTAGACATTAATCAGAAATCGTTTAATTCATTTAAAATTATGAATTTTTCAAGAATCGTCGTGTGGCTTAAAAATCAACGAAAAGTGATAAACTCACCGAAAAATAACTTTAGATTTTTAAAGTTGCGATGTGACGTCATCAACAACGCTAACGACGTATTTTCACAGCACCACGGTTTACACCGTGTTAATTAATTATCGTACCCGACGTCCAAGGTTTATAGAACATAAGGTTACCTAATTCCCTATGCCTCTGTAGTATCGATTATTACCCCGCAAATTGACGTCACTGGTTCGATACAGTCAGAGTAAAAGATAGCCTATACGTACCTATGCTGTGGTACAGTCTATATAAAATATTTAAACCTCGCATCGTGTTGTGTTGTTCATAGAACCAGCTACGTCACTGACCCACCTTGCCTCTCAGAGGAGGAGAATCGGTGTTGGGTAACCTTATGTTCTATAGACCTTGCCCGACGTCATCATTGCAAGTATGCAACCAATATCACAGTATTCGTATTGCAATACGCGATTTGCGTATTGGGTTGCCTACTTGCAATGATGACGTCGGGTACGATAATTAATTAACATACTGTACTGTACTGTACTGAAATTAATGTCAAAAGTAGTGGTTATTTTGATTTGTTTATTAACTTACCGATTAAAGGAACCGCTAGAAACAATGATAGTTCTAAAAGATCTGTTTCGAAAAATATAAAGGCAGCAAAAAACGGTTAAAGAACAAAGAAAATACGGTAACTCACAAAGCGTACGACCATCGCAACAATAACAAACGATCCAACTTACCAACTTACTAATAAAATTATCCAAGCTACCACTACATATTGAGATATGGATTACCATAATTAATTAACACAGTGTATGTACATATGTACAGGATGGGCAAATTTGAGTGTTATTAAAGGCTGTCTCAGAAACTATAAGAGATACGAAAAAAGTAGGTGCCATGTCCCGATCTCTTTTTTCGAGACTAACCCAATCCCCCAAACACCAAACCTCCATCTTCTTTTGTTTTTAAGTTATAGCCAAAAAGTCAAATTTTCGTGATTTTAAAAAATCAAAATTTTTAACTTTAATGCTTACTATTTTGGAATTGAAAATTAACGCTTATTTTCCGCAAACGAAAGCTAAAAATATGCTCTTTTCATTAACATCATAATCAAGTATAGTTTGTATTTAAAAAAATACAACTTTGTGTTGTATCTCAAAAATCATCAAATATTTTTAAAATTTTTCAACGGCAGTATATTCTACTTAACCTTTAACTACCCGCGCTCTATAATCTCACGTAGCTACCCGCGCGGTGTATTATGTACACCACATCTATGAATAAGAGATGAAGTACATAAATCAATGTATAGGGATAAGAAAACATGTTGCCTCGATTTTTCATGCTGTTTTATTGAGATATAAAACACAGTTCTCGACAAAAAAGGCAAACTCTTCAACAAAGAAAAGATTCAAAAAAAAAACCCCAAATATTAATATCTCACATATAAAGTATGGTTAGTTTGTTTCATCCGCTGCTTGCTTCGCCATTTTTGCAGGAATCGCATGTAACAACTGTTGTCATATGTTGTTTGCAAACTGACCTATTGCAACTTCCGCAAATTATGGTTGTGACTCGATTTTTTTTCCTACCGCAAATGAAACACCTCGCTCGTATCTTTGCAGGTGGCTCCTCCTCATTGGTGTCTTCTGCTGGTCTTTTGTATTTTGCTAGGAAACAGTGTATATCACTTGGCAATGACTGTATGCTGGCACGTTCAGAGAGATATGGCTTCATCAAACCTAAGGAGAGCACCTTCAAAAATTCTCTTCTGTGCTTGTAAGCTGTATTGACATGAGTTGCATTATAGAGCAGTTGTCCATTGATCCCCGCGATGTTCATCAGTTGGAAGAATATAACCAAAGGCCATCTTCTTGTCCTTCTTGATATTGAGTATGTGCCACACATTTTATCAACGGTATCAACTCCTCCTTTGGTGGCGTTATAATGTAAGATGATATCAGGCTTACTCGAAACTGGATCTATATCTCCATCCTCGTGCATTGTTGAGATTAATACGACCGCTTTATTTTTTTTCCGTACGTAGGAAACCAATGTTACATTTTTCTGGAATCCAAACAACGAAGATTTCACAGGTCTAGTTTTATGAGACAAAAAGTCTTGCGGTATTTCGCGTTTATTTTTTTTCATGGTCCCAATCATAGTAATTTTATCTTCCAATAATTCTTTCGCTAGCGGATAACTTGAATACCAGTTGTCACACGTTAAATTCCGATTACTACCTTTCACTTCCTTCAACAAGCGGTGAACCCTTCGGGTTGCTTACCGCAATAAACTTCAAAATTCGACACATAAAATGTTTTTGCATCACATAATACAAAAACCTTCATTCCATACTTCGCCGGTTTGTTTGGAATATACTGAAGAAAACTACAGCGTCCTCGGAAAGGTATCAACATTTCATCAATAGTTAAAAAATTGCCCACAGAGTAGTTGTTCTTGCAATTCTCTATAAATTTATCTATGACCCATCTTATTGCAGCTAATTTATCTATCTTTTTTCTTTGATTCCTTGTACTTTTATCATCAAATCGAATAACGGCAAGTAAAAATAGGAAACTGTTTTTACCCATACCCATACGAAAAATTTCAGAACCGGTACCATCTGTTGTCCAGAGTTCCAAAAAGTGAGTATGATTTTGCTTTTTATATCCAGATAACAATAGCAAACCCATGAATGCTTGCATTTCTGTTTTTGATACGTCTTTAGCGTCACGTTCTCTCATAAATTGAGACCTAACATTCGAAATGTGTAGATTCGTGCATTCAGTTATATACTGTATCATTTCATCAGTGAATATTCTCATAAAAGCATCTACTTCATTTTGAATGTCCCTTGCTTGTTGTTTGGCACCGGGAAAGATTTTCACAAGATTTTTAGCACTCACCTTACTGAATTTGCTTTTTAGCGAATTTTTGCTCCATCTAGTCAGTTTATCTTTGGCAATAAAGTAACTGCTATTTCCAACATCTTCTAAATCATCGGAGTCATTACCTTCGATTTCTGATTCGGAGTCATGTTCAGTATCTTCTATGTACTCTTCAGAAGAAGTATCAGCATCATCGTCGTGTAATTCTTCTTCCGAATCGGAGTCTCAAATCACTTGAGCCAGCTCCTCTAATTCACTCTGCGTCAATTTTTTGGAATCTTTTATTTTTACTTTGTCCCTAAAATGATAAAAATTAAAAATTTTTTTTTTCATTTGTTTAGCTGCCCTAAATGGCAGTCACTATTACTTACATAGCTACCCGGGCGGTGTATTTCATACACCAGACTGTAGTGCACCAAATAAATTGTCAATAAACCCAACTAACTTTCCAGCCACCAAAGCGTAAGTGTCTGAGCACCTAGTAAACACATCGGTCGTAGGTTACATCGAGGGGCATGAGTGCGGGATACCGCATTGGATTTTAACCGCTTTTTTAGTAGAACTGGTGTATTTTATACACCGGCGCGGGTAGTTAAAGGTTAAAAGTAGGAACCCATAACATTATCGTGAACGTATTATCTCAAAAACGCCATATTTAGACATTGGCCCTTTTTCTACCAAGGTACAGAAATTTTAAATTATTTTTATTAGGGTAACAATATTGCGATCGCTGTGTATAATTTAAACTGGTATGATGCAGATGTGATGACACGAAAACAAGTATTGACTTTACCTTTTTTGAGCCAACAACCTCTCACCATACGAGTCCCCTTATTTGGTGAAATGTCACAGGCTGCAGCACTAAAAGTAACTAATTTATTGTAATAGTAAGGAAGTGATATAAAGATTTTTTTAGGAATTCAAGAAGGCGTATCTTTTCATTAATTCATTAGTAACAATAACGGAAAATAAAAATTTTTGAATTTTGTTTGAAATTAAAGTACCACCAATGATTTATTGTTATTATTATTAAGGCCACTTTACAGTTCGCAAGTTTCATTGCCGGCAGGAAATATTGCGGTGATTTATCTTGCACGCATGCGTAAATGACGCGTTCTTTTTGATATTCTTGCACTTGCAGATAATTGGTTTGGACATATATTTCTTGCACTTGCGCTGACAATATGGTTAGTTTTTTAGTTACTTTTTGTGTTGCCAACTGTAAAATATAATGACATAACTTGTTTTGTTGGTTTGTTTGTGTACATGTACAGTCATGTTCACGGGAAATGCACACTCAAGGTCAAGCGCTGTTGTGAGATCCAACATACCGCTGGCTAAACGGGCTGAGCCGAGCGCACACGCAGCTCGTGGGCACAACAGCGCTTGATCTTGTCCCGTGAACGTGACTGTACCTCAATCTTTAAAAAAATACGTGTTGGCAGCATTGATTGCAACTGAAATATTGCAGTTAAAAGTTGCCTAATGTAAAGCCAATCGCGCTAGATATTGCCGCAATAACTTCGTGCAAGATACTCTTTCCTAAGTGAAGTTGTCCTGATGGGAACATGCTTATCAAAACGAGATAACACGAATTGATTAAAAAGTGAAACCTTATCTATATTACTAACATATAAATATTATGGGTAGTTAAATAAAACACCCACTTTACACAACTAAACTGTCTTTTATTTACACCAATAATACCTACTACAATTTTTGTTTCCTTTACAAAAGCGCGATAATTAAACCGTCACTTTAAAAACTTACAATCCTCAAATAACTAATATAGCGCCTTTTACACCAAGAGTTTTTTCGACAGTTTTGGAGCGTACGTTTGGAGCGCACACAAGCGTGCATGTTGGACCGCGCTCTTGGAGCGTCCGCTCACGGTATGTGACCAACAAAAGTAACGACGCCAAATCGATGCCAAATCTGCATTCCGAACACCCGGTTTTGACGCGTACAACTCATAAGTGTGCATATAAATGCAAAAATATGACATTTTATTGACTTTTGGAGTGGAGCGTAGAATTTCTGCCAAGTTGAAATTTTTGAAGACACACCTATACTTTGTTTAGTCACCTTTGCGAAAACATTTCAGTTACAATTATTGTTTTTAAAAATTATTCCAAACTTTATCATGTTCTCAAGAAAAAAGTGTTATAATCGTTCGGTTAGTATTATTGCACTTTATGAGAAGGCGCAAAATATTAAAGTTGAAAAACCACAGTTTAACATTTATATCGCAAATGTCGTTTTATAGCAGGTTTTATTAGTTCAGTAGTCGGTTTCCAGAATAAACTTTCAGAATTTGAACTTATGTTATGCTTAAAGCTCTTGTCGTTGTGTGTTATAATCCGCGCAAGAGTATCTTCGACAAATGAGAAATATGCATTAAATTTATTAGCAATTTTATGTGGACTTTCCAATGTGTTCCGTCCTGGGCCACAATCTTTGTAATCTTGGGGATCGTTTTTCGTAAATTAAGAGATTGTTTGCCAATAGACCACAGCTATTTATTATTCGTCGATCCAACTATTCCACATTTAAAATAGCTAATTTTACAGTCTAGGTTGACTTTGTGTTGCATTTGTCAATGAACCCTCATTATAAGCATGATATTCTAGCAACTCATTGCCATTCCAAGTCATAAGTCGAAGACCTCGCACTTTGCAATTTTATAGCTAGAAAGAAAAGACTGGGACAAAAACTGGAGATGTTTGAAGAAAAAGTGTTAAGGAAGAGTGCGCGGAAACCAAAACATACAATGATAACACCTATGTGATATGACAACATGGAAAAGAACATCACCGAGAATTCCTGGATGTCTTGGTCACAAGGAAGACAGAGAAGACGCTTCGTCCCATCACCATCCATAACAGAAAACGTCAGCGATCCAAGCTTTGTTCCAACGAGCAAAAAGGATATGCGAAGATTTATTCTGAGTGATATCCAGCTAGCCACCAAGCTACGCAAGCAGAGTGAACATAGCTCCCTTATGTTTCAGATGTGACGGACCTTATTGTAAGATGTCTGATGAACAACAGGAAAATTCGGACTGCTGTTCCGATAACTAACGACAAACTAATCCAATTAAAGTTAGCGGGAGTTTATCGATTATCATGCAGTTGTGGAAAGTATTACATTGACAAAACTGGGCGTTACGTTGAGTGCTGCATCAAGGACCATGAGAGAGACATGTAAGACTGAATAAGATTCAGCAGTCGGTAGTCGCAGAGTATTGCCACAAAAAGTGATACTATAGATTTCGATTGGATGAAATATTAAGGATGACATGAAAATGCTAGTTAACTCGACGAAACGTGTAGGGGAGAGATTAAACTAAGATGAGCCAAACACTTTTTTCATAAAATTAAGTAAACTAAAGAAAACCACTGTTTTATTTGCAAAAATCGCATGAATACTCCTCATCATTGCCGTGATCTACCCTAGCGCAAGCTTCGTGGGCCCAAAGCTAGCAATTTTGACATTTTCCCTTTAAGCCTTCTCAGATAGACTACGCTTTTGTATTTTTTTGCGGTTTGGTGTGATAGATCTTTCTAATTCTTCTTTATATGGCGTGGAAGTTAGCACAGTAGTTTCACTTCGCCTTTTGTCGTCAGCATTAATTTTCCTTTCCGGCGAGTGTGGTATGCGAATGATTTATTCTGACGTTACTGTAAATGTTCTGGCGGTAGATGAACAAGAAGGAGTGCTATCAGAACATGGTGCCGTTCTAGCTGGTGATATCACGATGTAAACGGAGAAAAAATAAAATTAAAATATATTCATTAAGGTAATGATTTAATAACTGAATAAAAATGTAAAAATATGAATGTTATTATTAAACAATACTTTAATCTCAGATCAATTAGTTATAAAGTTTGAATGAATGTGGGAGTATTGTATGAAAATTTTAACGAAAATACTAAATTATGGATTCTTTCTAATCAAATCGTTATAAAAATGCAATAGAATCTTAATTAAATTGTTTTAAAAAAATGTGAAATTCTTTGTATTCAAATTATGTGATTGTGTGGAGAATTTATAATGTTGCTATTACGTATAAATTATCATAAAAATCATCATATATAAAACGATTTTTGATTTCACTCTCTGTAAATAACAAACTGGCCAAAAAGAAGTAAGTTTTCTAAATATTTAAACTCTCTGATAGTGTAATATATTTCTTATATTCTTGTAGTACCTATTAAGTTATCATGGCTCCTAAAGATTCCGGTGCCCGCGTAATAAAGTCAATGAAAAAATTAAATGATAATCATCAAGAAGCACCAAAAATGTTTGGTAAATACAATATTTTTGGTTTTAAATTCTAGCAGGAACTTAAATAACATCATCTTCTTCGCCAGTTTACATCTAATATTGTTCTTCAGTCTAATTATTTTTCCATGGACTCAAAATGGAAATTAGCTTTATTTAGTAAGTTAGAATTTATTTCATTACGTTGAAAAGTACTTTCTTTAAGCCCTCGTTTATAGCCGCTTTATTTCTTTGGGTGTAACAGTGGGAGTTCATCGTTATTTTACTCACCGCACATTTAAAGCAAGTCTTCCATTAAAACTTTTCCTTTTGATGATGTACGCCGCTTCTGGACAGATATAAAAATGTTCAACCGTTAACATAGCTTTATTTCAACCATTTTGATTTCAGAATAAACTTTTTGAATGGGTTAGAGACCATCGTGTCCATCATAAATAGTCAGAAACCGACGCAGATCCACACAATTCCAACCGTGATTTCTTTTTCGCTCATATAGGGTGGTTAATGATGAAAAAACATACGGAAGTGATTAGAAAAGGAGCTAGTATTGATATGAGCGACATAAAAAATGATCCAATTCTGGTTTGGTTCGACAGAAACATAAGTTATCTCATGATATTGTTCTGTTTCCTCATTCCCTGTACGTTCATTCGATATTATTTAGAAGAATCTTGGTTTTGGAGTTTTTTAACTCAACTAGGCAGATACGTGATTTTGTTAAATGGAATTTGGTTGGTGAATAGTGCAGCCCATCTATACGGAAATAAACCTTATAATAAGTATAGTTAAAAATGGTCTTCAAATTACCCTAATTGTTTATTGTTACATTTTTTAGGACTATTAATCCAAGAGAAAATTTGTTTGTGAGCATAGTTAGTACAGGAGAAGGTTGGCATAATTACCATCACACATTTCCCTGGGATTACAAAGCTTCTGAGTACGGAAAATGGAACTTAACGACTCATTTCCTGAATCTTGCCGCAAAGTTAGGTTTAGCTTACGATTTAAAATCACCATCTGATGAATTAGTAAAGAAAACAATTGATAAAGTTGGAGACGGGACTTATTCGCATTACGTTAACGAAAACGGTGACATCGTAAAATTGGGATTAGATTAAAACACTTCACAAAATGTGAATATTAATAATATTATTATGTATGGCAAAATTAAATAATTGAACTTTACTTCAAATCTGTTAAAAGTATTTATTTATTTTAATAAATAATAATCCAGTCATGATAATATCCAACTCTGTTTCATTTCCTTTGTTAGTAACTCGTACAATACAGCGAACCAGATACTTATCAAATGCTTATACGTAGATAAAATAAAGAATATCCCAATAAGATTACCCGATATAAATTTTTACGCCATTTTTTGTTTCTGTGCCAGTGGCATATCTGAAATTTAACTATCGGTTTAGCTATCATTTGCGATTATTCCGATTATTAATTATAGAACACTACACAAAGGAACAACGAGTATTTCTCAGTCATTATTGTGCACCAAATGTATCGACGATTCGAAGAGTGATCAATAAAGAAAACGTATAATAAGGAAAAAGGAATAAAAAAAATCAAAATCTTAATCAAAATTAAGGCAAACAATTAAAAATCAGATTAAACTTAAACTAAAAACAGCTTCTTTAATTCAAATATCATTATAAAAAAAATACAATAAAGCAAAAAGTAAAATAAAATAAACAATGCCTAATAATAACGACGAAATTATACATTATAAAAAGACTGAACCAACGAAAATCCTGAACTACCAAAACGTAGGAGGTAATGCGCTGACAGCATTAAAAAGTAAGCGCCTAAATGTAAAAAATGAGTGCTGAAATAAATTGATATCAAGTTTGTCAGTCTGGCGAGCCATTTATTTATTTATTTATTTATTTAAATGTTTTGGGATGCAGACGGGTCAAGCCCAGCGAAGAATCCGCTAATAATTACAATAAAAAACAAAAAAAAAATGCAGTTAACAAGAATTCTTAACAAAAATGGATAATTCTGAATAACAAGAAAACGACAATGGTTGAAATTAACAATAATATATAAGCAAAAAAAATCAACAGATAATATATTAACAAAAGAAAAAACAGTCAGCTTATATTATTATTGCTTGTCGTACGCAATGCCAGGACACACCATGAACTTTCCCTCTAAACGACGACAAGGGAGCAGCGAATATGTCAAAATCTGAGCAATAATGGTTGAACGTAGACAGGCGTAAGGCGAGGAATCGCGGAGTTTGAAAGCGCATAGGTATTAGTGCGCGACACAAAGAATAGTGACTTTACACGGGATGGGCGCGCTGGAACTTTAAACTGTATCTCAGAGAGTATCGTGGAGCAGTCAACAATACCGTTAATAAGTTTGTAGAGAAAAATTAAATCATTTATATTGTGCCTGGAGGAAAGCTGCGGGATGCTGAAAACTATGCATCGCTGGGCGTAGTCGCAGTANAAATAGTCAGAAACCGACGCAGATCCACACAATTCCAACCGTGATTTCTTTTTCGCTCATATAGGGTGGTTAATGATGAAAAAACATACGGAAGTGATTAGAAAAGGAGCTAGTATTGATATGAGCGACATAAAAAATGATCCAATTCTGGTTTGGTTCGACAGAAACATAAGTTATCTCATGATATTGTTCTGTTTCCTCATTCCCTGTACGTTCATTCGATATTATTTAGAAGAATCTTGGTTTTGGAGTTTTTTAACTCAACTAGGCAGATACGTGATTTTGTTAAATGGAATTTGGTTGGTGAATAGTGCAGCCCATCTATACGGAAATAAACCTTATAATAAGTATAGTTAAAAATGGTCTTCAAATTACCCTAATTGTTTATTGTTACATTTTTTAGGACTATTAATCCAAGAGAAAATTTGTTTGTGAGCATAGTTAGTACAGGAGAAGGTTGGCATAATTACCATCACACATTTCCCTGGGATTACAAAGCTTCTGAGTACGGAAAATGGAACTTAACGACTCATTTCCTGAATCTTGCCGCAAAGTTAGGTTTAGCTTACGATTTAAAATCACCATCTGATGAATTAGTAAAGAAAACAATTGATAAAGTTGGAGACGGGACTTATTCGCATTACGTTAACGAAAACGGTGACATCGTAAAATTGGGATTAGATTAAAACACTTCACAAAATGTGAATATTAATAATATTATTATGTATGGCAAAATTAAATAATTGAACTTTACTTCAAATCTGTTAAAAGTATTTATTTATTTTAATAAATAATAATCCAGTCATGATAATATCCAACTCTGTTTCATTTCCTTTGTTAGTAACTCGTACAATACAGCGAACCAGATACTTATCAAATGCTTATACGTAGATAAAATAAAGAATATCCCAATAAGATTACCCGATATAAATTTTTACGCCATTTTTTGTTTCTGTGCCAGTGGCATATCTGAAATTTAACTATCGGTTTAGCTATCATTTGCGATTATTCCGATTATTAATTATAGAACACTACACAAAGGAACAACGAGTATTTCTCAGTCATTATTGTGCACCAAATGTATCGACGATTCGAAGAGTGATCAATAAAGAAAACGTATAATAAGGAAAAAGGAATAAAAAAAATCAAAATCTTAATCAAAATTAAGGCAAACAATTAAAAATCAGATTAAACTTAAACTAAAAACAGCTTCTTTAATTCAAATATCATTATAAAAAAAATACAATAAAGCAAAAAGTAAAATAAAATAAACAATGCCTAATAATAACGACGAAATTATACATTATAAAAAGACTGAACCAACGAAAATCCTGAACTACCAAAACGTAGGAGGTAATGCGCTGACAGCATTAAAAAGTAAGCGCCTAAATGTAAAAAATGAGTGCTGAAATAAATTGATATCAAGTTTGTCAGTCTGGCGAGCCATTTATTTATTTATTTATTTATTTAAATGTTTTGGGATGCAGACGGGTCAAGCCCAGCGAAGAATCCGCTAATAATTACAATAAAAAACAAAAAAAAAATGCAGTTAACAAGAATTCTTAACAAAAATGGATAATTCTGAATAACAAGAAAACGACAATGGTTGAAATTAACAATAATATATAAGCAAAAAAAATCAACAGATAATATATTAACAAAAGAAAAAACAGTCAGCTTATATTATTATTGCTTGTCGTACGCAATGCCAGGACACACCATGAACTTTCCCTCTAAACGACGACAAGGGAGCAGCGAATATGTCAAAATCTGAGCAATAATGGTTGAACGTAGACAGGCGTAAGGCGAGGAATCGCGGAGTTTGAAAGCGCATAGGTATTAGTGCGCGACACAAAGAATAGTGACTTTACACGGGATGGGCGCGCTGGAACTTTAAACTGTATCTCAGAGAGTATCGTGGAGCAGTCAACAATACCGTTAATAAGTTTGTAGAGAAAAATTAAATCATTTATATTGTGCCTGGAGGAAAGCTCACGCAAAGGACACATAGGCGAAATAAAGTGAACGAATACAGGATAGATCAGTGAAGGGTCGACATATACGACATAAAAAGCCGAGCATCTGGGAGGCCTTATTAACAATAGAATCAATGTGAGCGGAGAAAGTAAGTTTGGAGTCGAAAAGAACGCCAAGATCTCTAACGCATTCGGATTGTTTGAGGGTGTCAGAGCCAAGCAAGTAATCAAAAGCAGTAGGATAGCGTTGCTGCACTTGTCATAATTAATATAAAGATTATTAATTGAACAATATGCTTGTAGTCTGTCCAAGTCGCTTTGCAACTTTGCACAGTCTTCAAGCGAGCAAATAGGTGCAAATATCTTGCTGTCGTCGGCATACAGAAGGAATTTTGAGTGGTGAAAGCAGGTATGGATGCCGTTGATGTAAAGCAGAAACAGCAACGGTCCCAGATGGCTGCCCTGGGCTACACCGGAAGTAATATCTCTGAATGTTGAGCAATAATTATTAATGGCAACGGCTTGTGATCTGCCGTATATATACGAAGAAATCCAGTGAATTAAGTCATTGGGAATATCATAATTAGAAAGTTTTTTCAAAAGAATTCCATGGTCTATCCTGTCAAAAGCCTTACTATAGTCAGTATATATGACATCGACTTGGCTGCTATTATCGAGAGTATTTAATAAAAAATTAGAAAACGTAATTAAATTAGATTCCACTGACCTACCCCGAAAAAAACCATGTTGTTCAGGGATTAAGGATGATTTAACATTAAACATAAGCAAATCATAGACAAGCCGTTCAAAGACTTTTGAGGCTATTGACAGGATAGAGATGGGTCTATAGTTGGCAATTAGGTTACGCGCGCCACATTTATGAATGGGGATTATTAGTGCCTTCTTCCATTCAGCTGGATAAGTTGCTGTGTCTACCGTGAATGTGCATCAGTGAGCACCGATGCACATTCACGGTAGAATAGGCCGGGCAGACCATCCGGACCCGCTCCAGCTCTGGGACTCACGGATGACAATTCACGCAAAATGTTGTCCCGAGAAAACCAGGGTTCGATGCATGGGGAGGAGACTCCACGGCTACCGTCCCCGCATCCATCAACAAATACAGATCCGAAATAATCAGCGAAAAGGTCGCAGATATCCTGTCCACCCTCAGCCACCCGATCGCAATAGGACAACTTACCGGGAATAGTTTGCTACCATTCTTTTTTGATTTAATAAAAGACCACAGACCGCTTGGATTATCACGTATGTTAGCTTGTATTGTGCCCAGAAACAGATTATAGTCATTTGTGACCGCTCCACGAACAATGGAGTAAAACATGCTCACTGCTTCATCGACCGGTAAACGACCAACAGGATCGTTCCAATCCACAGACGCGAGACATGAACGAAGACTCCCATAATCAGCTTTATGAAATAGGTATTTATGAAAACGATTGTCGCGGAGAGGGCGCTGCGAGACACAGTTAATTGAAAGTAATAAAGCAGGATGATGAGTATCCACGCGCACCAATGGTTCAAGGCATTGGGCAATGTCAGTAATATTGTAGAAATTGCTCAGAATCAGGTCTAAAGTTCTGTCATTAGCATTGCGCACGCCATTAAATTGCTCAAGTTACAATAAAAAAGTGAACTTAAAAATAAACGTGCACGTGCGCCACTGACATTTGACGCAACTAAAGACTGCAATTACGACAGATACCATGAAATATCGGGAAGGTTAAAGTCTCCAAAGACAAGAAGAGTTCGTAAGTTTACAAGAAATAGCTCAAGCGAATCTAGATCAGCGGGCGGAAGATAAACACAACAAAGAAGCAATCGATCAACATCGCACTGCACCGACAACCACAAATCCTCAACCTTCGAAGATTCAACCAATTTGCAGCATATGATGTTAGATCTAACCGCAATAAGAACACCTCCACCGTCGGCCTTAGCAGATAATGATGTGTAGCGATCCCGACGGAAAACGTTGTACTGGGCATTAAATAGTTCACCATCGTTAATAGAGCTATTCAAAAACGTTTCGGTGAAGCAAATTATATCAAATTCGGAATCGCTGGTGTTCAAGAACAAAGTGTTTGTTTTAGATCGTAAACCGCGTACATTTTGGTAATAAACGCTAATCTGCNTTTCTTACCTCAGAATCCCCAGAAAACACAATACGTGAATTTAAAATTAGAACTGGTGAAGGAGTTTTAGCATATCATACAGTTGTCCATCACCAAACATACAGTTCTATGGAGTGTACACCAAAACTTAATAAAACGGTAATTATTATTTTTTTAATTCAATTCGCGTTTTTTAAATGTTATTGTTATAATATAGGGTAAATTTTTGTTTTTGCAGATATTTTTAGACTCAGACGTGGCAAAAAATATGACTTGTGGTAAAACTAAAACAGAGGCCATAGTTAACAATGTCTTGGCACCCCATGCTAAACAAACTCTAATAAACACCTTAAATAACATTCCGTTTTATGGATTGGGTACTGATGTTAGTAATCACGGAGCAGTAAGAATGTTCCCCATTGTTGTTCAATATTTTGATTGGCAAAAGGGTATCCAAACAAAACTATTAGAATTAGCATCTCTCACCAGTGAAACTTCAGAGGCAATAGCCGAATATATTATGTCAACTCTGAAAAGAGAAAACATATTGTCGAAATGTGTTGCTTTTGCTGGGGACAATGCCAATGTAAATTTTGGAGGGCTTTCAAGGAAGGCAGGAAATAATGTTATCACAAGACTTAAACAAAATTTAAATACATGCATATTGGGAGTTGGATGTTCTGCACATATCTTGCATAATTGTTTGCAATATGGAGCTGATTCACTTCAAGTCGATATTGAATGCATAATCTTTAAAATTTTCAATTATTTTTCAATATATACAGTGCGCACGGAAAAATTAAGAGAGTTTTGCGACTTTGTTGATATATCATTCCAGCAATTGCTTTACCACAGCAAGACAAGATGGTTTTCTNCAAAATGTTGTCCCGAGAAAACCAGGGTTCGATGCATGGGGAGGAGACTCCACGGCTACCGTCCCCGCATCCATCAACAAATACAGATCCGAAATAATCAGCGAAAAGGTCGCAGATATCCTGTCCACCCTCAGCCACCCGATCGCAATAGGACAACTTACCGGGAATAGTTTGCTACCATTCTTTTTTGATTTAATAAAAGACCACAGACCGCTTGGATTATCACGTATGTTAGCTTGTATTGTGCCCAGAAACAGATTATAGTCATTTGTGACCGCTCCACGAACAATGGAGTAAAACATGCTCACTGCTTCATCGACCGGTAAACGACCAACAGGATCGTTCCAATCCACAGACGCGAGACATGAACGAAGACTCCCATAATCAGCTTTATGAAATAGGTATTTATGAAAACGATTGTCGCGGAGAGGGCGCTGCGAGACACAGTTAATTGAAAGTAATAAAGCAGGATGATGAGTATCCACGCGCACCAATGGTTCAAGGCATTGGGCAATGTCAGTAATATTGTAGAAATTGCTCAGAATCAGGTCTAAAGTTCTGTCATTAGCATTGCGCACGCCATTAAATTGCTCAAGTTACAATAAAAAAGTGAACTTAAAAATAAACGTGCACGTGCGCCACTGACATTTGACGCAACTAAAGACTGCAATTACGACAGATACCATGAAATATCGGGAAGGTTAAAGTCTCCAAAGACAAGAAGAGTTCGTAAGTTTACAAGAAATAGCTCAAGCGAATCTAGATCAGCGGGCGGAAGATAAACACAACAAAGAAGCAATCGATCAACATCGCACTGCACCGACAACCACAAATCCTCAACCTTCGAAGATTCAACCAATTTGCAGCATATGATGTTAGATCTAACCGCAATAAGAACACCTCCACCGTCGGCCTTAGCAGATAATGATGTGTAGCGATCCCGACGGAAAACGTTGTACTGGGCATTAAATAGTTCACCATCGTTAATAGAGCTATTCAAAAACGTTTCGGTGAAGCAAATTATATCAAATTCGGAATCGCTGGTGTTCAAGAACAAAGTGTTTGTTTTAGATCGTAAACCGCGTACATTTTGGTAATAAACGTTAATCTGCATCAATTGTCGTTGAGTTTGTCAAGGTCTGAGGCGGATTTAATAGGAACAGCCCTGGATCTATCGTTGCGACGAATAAAAATAGCTCCTTGTAAGACCCAGTGGTATTTGAAACCTTTGGATCGGGCAGCGTCGCGGGTAAGTTTTAAGAGGCGCTTGTTTCGCAACATAGGAGAGTTCCTAAAAGCATTGGTGCGCGGAATAAGCGTACAGAACAAGAAATTATAGCAAAGTAGACGGGGAGGTACATGAATATTAACCGAATTCAAAAGAACTGTGGAATCATCATCATTACACCGGCGACGCTATTATTAACAATAGTGTCAATGTGCTGTACATAGAGAAGCTTGGAATCGAGGGTCACTCCAAGGTCTCTAATAAAGGAAACGCGTGTTAAGTTTTCGCCAGCGATGCTGTAATTGTATTCTTCCTTCTCGAAACAGAAATAACATTACATTTAGACAGATTTAGGGTTGATTGGTTTTTAGTGCAAAAGTTAGAAATCGTAAGAAGGTCAGTCTGCAGCCTAGAGCAGTCCATAGGAGAGAACATAAGCAGATAAAGCTTGAGATCATCTGCTTACATTAGACATTCACAATGCTTCACAACCTTGAATATATCGTTAATATAGAGATTAAATAGCAAGGGTCCGAGGTGGCTACCCTGAGAGACGCCAGAGGGAATTGACATAAGGTCAGAGCAATATCCGTTAACAGACCCAACCTGGCTCGTACCTCGCAAATATGAATCACACCAGCGGAACAACCCAACATGAACACCATAACCATGAAGTTTTGATACACACGATCAAAAGCCTTGCTAAAATCGGCGTAAACAGAATCAACTATAAAAAATATAATTTGTGCATTCAAGCAGGTTGCTCTCTACTGACCCGATTCGCAAAGAAACCATGTTGTCTGGAACCGATTTTGGATTTAAGACTAAAAAAAAAGTCTGGTATAAAAAGTTTCTTTAAAACCTTATCAAACACAGACAATATAGACTTAGCTGGATGCAATTGGGTGATAGATATAAGGTTACGACTACCGGATTTGAAAATGGGCAAAATATAGGCTCGTTTCCAAAAGGCAGGAAACGTACCTTCCTTTAGAGATTTATTAAATAAGATGGAAAGTGGTAGAGAAAGAGATTCAAAGCATGAGAAGCATCATCAGTGCCCATATTTATATTTCAAGCGATAAGTACTTCCTCAACCTCAGACTGCTCAAAGCGTATCGGACCCAAACATGTAGTATCATTAAGGTAAGCGTTACCAGAAGTAAGTGAATTAATAGACGAAGGGACATACACGGAAGAGATATAACTCAATAACTAATAAACTACTAGTGAATTTGCGTTTGAGCGGAGTAAATTTTTGAATGGCAAAATTTAAATGGTAATAAAAGAAATCAACAGAAACGTCTACTTCAGGTGTATTTAGCTCTGTATGCCAGTTAATAATAGAGAAGTACCTACAAATCAATGTCAGAGAAATTAGCACGTTTCACAATGGGGTATTTGTCAATTCTATCTAGACAAAAGTCCGTTTTAAAAAGTTGATTCAACCTTAAATTACTTTTAACCCATTAAAACTACAACTAATACAGTAAGTCACGTCAAAATTGACTATTAATAGTACGTAATTAGTTACAGTGCTGTCAATAGTTACCTGACTTATATCAGTCATTATTCGGTTTGAGGACAACTTTAAAAAGTTCTGAAATATGGAAATAAATGAGCCAGGTACGTGCTATTAATATATCATATATTTTTACCTGCATTCTTACGATTAGAGTAAATAGTGGGTTTTGAAAGTAATGCATATTTTTTGTTTGTTTTCCTATATTTCTCATATTCAGAGAGTTTACATAAGTTTGTTGAGTAAAGTAGTTTGACGATGGACATTAAAAACAAGAAATTTTGGGAACAATTTATTGAATTATATAGGCAAAACACCTGTGTATAGGATGTAAAATCCAAAGATTATATAAATAAAACAAAGAGAAATGCAGGTTATGACATTTTATTTCAAAAATTTAAGGAATTGTTCCCAGAAGCTACGTTAGAAACAATGAAAAGAANAGACTTAAACAAAATTTAAATACATGCATATTGGGAGTTGGATGTTCTGCACATATCTTGCATAATTGTTTGCAATATGAAGCTGATTCACTTCAAGTCGATATTGAATGCATAATCTTTAAAATTTTCAATTATTTTTCAATATATACAGTGCGCACGGAAAAATTAAGAGAGTTTTGCGACTTTGTTGATATATCATTCCAGCAATTGCTTTACCACAGCAAGACAAGATGGTTTTCTATGTTCCCTGTCCTTGAAAGACTTCTCAAAATGTACCCGCCCTTAAAGCTTACTTTTTGTCGTTGGATAACTGTCCTGTTGTTCTAAAAAACTTTTTCGAGAATGAAATGTCTGAATTATATTTATGGTTTTTACATTCAACCATGCACATTTTCCATACCAATGTGGCGTCTATTGAGAGGGAGACTATCTCAGTAATGGAAATAAATGTAATTTTGTCGAACGTTTTAAAATCCCTAAAGGAAAGATATCGTGAACGGTTTCTGCCCTTAAAAATAAAAATGTCTTTTAATACTCTAATAGGGAATGGATACCACAGAGAAGTAGACAATTTTAAGGCTCAAGTCGAAAATTTCTACCAAAAATGTATTTCATATTTGGAAAAATGGGCAGCACCATTAAGTGACTTTGAGCCTTTTAAATGGATGCTTCTTAATGATTCAGACTTTAAGTTTGATGATGTGGTACCTTCTCTAGAATACCTTAGTCAACTTGGGATTTGTATTGACGATAGCAAATTACTGGATGAAACTATAAGTTTAAAAGACTTTTTAAAATCATTTGAAAATAATAATGACTTCACAAACTTATCATTGGATCAGAAATGGTGCCAGTTTTATAAAAATTGCAAAAATTTAGAAATTGTTTCACAACTGTTAATTATTTGCCAATTTTATTTTGCAATTCCTGCAAATAATGCCACGGTTGAGCGAATTTTTTCATTCATTTCCTCGCAGTGGACAAAAGAGCGAAATCGCCTATCAATTGATTCAGTGAAAGGAATGATATTGCTTAAGTATAACTTTAAAAATTATACATGTTCTGATTTTTATACCTATCTGTCAGCAAACCAGGATCTCCTCAAAAAAATTGGTTCGTTCGTCTGACAAATATTGTCCTAATCATAAACCACCAGGGGCTGCAAGTTCTTCGCAGTCAGATTTGCAAACCTAAATGCATTAGGTATAGACCACTAATCTAGTAGAGTTTTTATATAAAGTATATGTTTTTTGTTAATTGTTGTTATTGTTGTTTATGTATTATGTTCGATGTTACCAGTAGGTTATAAGAATATTTTATTTAAAAAAAATAAAAGCATTAGCAGAAACTTTTATTAGTAATTATCGCTTTTTATTTGGTTAATAATAATAGTGACTGGGAACTTTGCGAAAAATAAAAATTGCCAAAATATAGTTTGAATTTCACATACATGTACAAATGCATTTTTAAAATATGTCCGGCTTTTTTATAAAAAATCAGGCTTTTTTTGTACAATTGTCCTACTTTCATACAGTACCCATCTGACAACCCTACGTTTGAGAGGGCTGTAAAATCTTATGCAATTTAACTTCACAGAATTCTTGAAATTCTTTAAAATCACTGATTCTTTTTGAACTAGACGCGAAGTAATTATAAATATCCCGAGTCAGATCTTCAATAAATCTGGGCAATTTTTGACATGCATAAGAAGCACATAAGTGGAACGAATGACATATGCACTTCATTACGTATAAACAGGGAATGTCTTTCTTTAAGAGACTCATGACAGAATGGTGCTGCCCCATCATAACATTTGCACCATCTGCCGCAAATCCTATTAAATTATCTTTTAAAGATACGTCATTTTTTTTAAAGAAAACAATAATGTGATTATATAAAGTATTGGCATCTGCGGCGGAAAGTGGTATCAAACCCAGAAAATTATTTTTGACGCCCTTACTCATCAAATATCTTATTACTAAGCACAGATGTTTTGTGGTTGTCCGATCCGTTGACTCACCTACTATCAGTGAAAATTTGTTTTGGCGAAGATGAGCACATAAATCGTCAAAACTTTGTTGCCCTAAAACGGCCCACACACGTAACGATTTGTCGTGCTGCACGCAGTACGACATTAGTCGAAACTGCTGCAGTAAGGATAAATTGTAGCGTGTGTAGGCAAATCGTATGCTACGCAGTACGCAGTGATCGAATCGTCTGCAGTTCAGCACTTGCATAAAATATCGTATCAACGGTCGTGTTTGAAAGTAAGTTGACACGTGTGTAGAGAGAGGCGGTTGTTGTAGGTGACTTTTCTAGTTAATATATTTACATTGAGTTTACATAAGTTTGTTGAGTAAAGTAGTTTGACGATGGACATTAAAAACAAGAAATTTTGGGAACAATTTATTGAATTATATAGGCAAAACACCTGTGTATGGGATGTAAAATCCAAAGATTATATAAATAAAACAAAGAGAAATGCAGGTTATGACATTTTATTTCAAAAATTTAAGGAATTGTTCCCAGAAGCTACATTAGAAACAATGAAAAAAAAAAAATAAACAATATAAGAACATCTTTCCGGCGTGAACTAAAAAAGGTGGGATATGTTAAATGCAATAACAGAAACAAATAGATCAACAGAAATTTTTGTCTTAGGTTGAAGACTCTAAACGTACGGGGTCGGGGGCTGATGATATTTATGAACCATCTCTTTGGTATTATGATATTTTATTTTTTACTGCTGAAAGCGAAAGAGGAAGAAAGGGAAAATCAAATTATGAGGAAATGGAAGTGGATAGAGAACAAGATAAGGTGATGTATAATTAAAGTTTTATTAACGTATATTTTGTATTAGTTGTTACAATTCCAGTTATCTATTTATTATTTTACCATACGGTCTTGAAAAAAACACTACCGACAGTATTAAAATATTTTTTATAGGTTTCTCTTACATTTTTTGTAACAGAACTGACGTTTTTCATCTTGGTTTTTTCCAAATGGATGGGATTGTTACCAGTTTGCTGTCTCCATTGCCCTGGTATTATATTGCCATTGTTAAAATCTTCACGGTCGATACATTGTTCAGTTATACAATTACTATTAGATGTTTTCCTCAAAAAATTATGCAAAGCACAACTTGCCAATATTATAATATCAATTTTATCCACGCTAATATTAATAGGTTGTAGAAATATTCGAAACCTTGAAGCTAAAATTCCAAATGCATTTTCTACAACTCTGCGAGCTCGACATAAACGATAATTAAATATTTTTTCATTATACGTTATGTTTCTTTGTGAATATGGTTTCATAAGGTTTTCCATTAGTGGAAATGCCTCATCTCCAATGAAAACATAAGGTACTTTTTCTTCCATTCCTGGCAATTTGGTAGGGTTGGGTATGTTTAGCTTTTTAGCGAGTAGATTTTTGTAAATACTTGTTTGTGACCATATTAGTAGTATAAAAATGAGAGTTCTGGAGCGGAAGTTAATCCCCCAATCCCCCTGTGATGTCTGCGCATGCGCGCGCAGGAAGTGACGTCACAGCGCGAGAAATTTGAAATGCATGTGGCGCCATCTGGTACTAAAAGCATGTCATGTTGGTTGCCTGGCTCGTGGGGCGCCACATACCGGCGGATAGCGGAACTAACCTAGCGGTGATTGGTGGAACTAACGCTATGTTGGTTGCCTACTTCATGGGACGCCACCTAGCGGTGGGTGGTGGAACTAACGCTATGTTGACCATCTGGTGGTGTGTAGTGAAACTAAAAAACATGTCATGTAGGTTTCGGTGGTGTAACTTAACGGAATATATATAATACTTACTTGTTATAGGAATTGAACTGATAGCTGCAAGGAGAAATCTAGAAGTATGAAGGCTTTCACGGCCGGTGTGAATTAAACTAAGATTAGAACTAAAACTAGAAACTTTCGGGTTTTGCCGTGCGTCTTTTAATAAAAGGTTTGACGTTTCGGATGCCATGNTAGATTTTTGTAAATACTTGTTTGTGACCATATTCCCCCATCAGATACTCGACCATTTGTTCCAGTATGAACATATATAAATTCATAATTTGCATTTACTATAGCAAATAGTACTACGCTATATGTTCCCTTGTAGTTGTAGAAGTATGATCCACTACCGGCCGGTTTTGTTATATTTATATGTTTTCCATCGATTGCGCCCAAACAGTTACTAAATTGCCAAAGATTCTGGAATCCTCTGCTGACTTCTTGCCACTCAGCCTCTGTTGATGGCACCTAAAAATAATATTCATTGAATTAATGAAGACAACATTTTATAACCGTTTAGCTCTAGTTACTAATTATGGATTACTATTGTTTCTACTACTGTTTCCTTTTAATTTTAGGATAACCTGCACAATGAAGAAACTGACGATTTTTTGTATTCGCCACATACACCGGCAAGTTTTGATGGATCACTAGATAGTCAGCTGGATACTATGTCACAACATATAACGGTTCCCTCTGGAACTACAACCACTGTACTCAGACCAAAATTATGTTTACGAAAAAGATCGTATAATTCTACAAAAACGCGCCCAAATAGTTTGGATGAAAAAAAGATGGCTCTTTATACAGCAGCCGAAAAAGCGTTAGCTGTTGAAGAAAATGTCGACGATGAGTTTGTAGTAACGGGGAAGAAAATGGCTTTTCAATTAAAAAAGCTGGACGATCAACAAAAATTAATAGCTGAAAAGTTATGGTCTGACATAATGTTTCACGGTGCACAAGGAAAACTTGAATTAGATTGCTCCATATATTTCCCTTCGAAAAAACCGCAAACTTACTACAATCAAAATCGTATATTGAATGAAGTACAGGAATCTCAGCAAAATTTTAATATGCCAGTCACTCATCGCCAAGATCAGCAATGTAGCAATCAACAATTTAACTCATCACTAACATCAGACCTCGAACAATATATTTTGCTTCAACCTCGCAATTCGACCAATGATTGTTAAATAAGTTTAAAATTAGTTTCTTTAAAAAAAAATAGTTTATGCAGACGTGTTTTTTTTACTTACCTTTAAATAACTCTTTTTCAGTGCACTATATATAGCTTCACAGGTTTCAGGAATAATTTTACTTAGTGCTTGAGGTGACATTCCTGTTCTAAACTTAAGATCTTCATAAGAACATCCTGTTGCTAAATACCTTAATGTGGCGACCAATCTTTCTTCTACAGGTATCGCGTTTCTCATAATAGTATCTTGCTTCGTAATTTTTTCCGAAATTAAAGTCAATAAAGTCATATAGGTATCAGAATCCATTCTTAAATAATTTTTAAAATCAGTAGGCTCGTCTTGTTCAAGCTCTTTTAACAACTTCATGTGTGAGTATTTGTTTCTGTCCAGCAACCATTTCTTACACCATTTTTTCTTTTTAATTACTTTACATTCGTCATCTTCATCAAGCAATAATACTGCAATTACAAGTGCGGCAGCTTTTCTTTTTGCCATTTTATTACATAAACGTGTGTAGTTCATACTCATCGAGACAACTACTGCAATAATCGTAACTACTGTAGTCCGATGTGTTTGAACCGTGTGTAGAGAAAACGACAGTACTGCAATTCCTACGATTTTCTCTCCAATCTGTAGTTCGGCGTGCAGTACGACAAATCGTTACGTGTGTGGGCCGTTTAAAACATTTTTTACGATGGCTGTGGTCTTTGTTCTTCCACATGTCAGCCCTTTGGCAATTTTTGAGTCATCGCAAATTTTCGGAAATAATTTTATTAAATGGTCCATTACAGCGAAGGGAATATTGTGTTCGGCTACAAATGCACTTAACCGTATGTCCCCTAAGAAAAAGAAAAGAATTATATTTCTGTTACACAAAGTCATTTTAAACTTACCTTCTTTGATTTTATTTTCTAATTGAATTTGGGGGGGAAGTCCTGCTGTCGCAAATTCTTGTAGTGTTTTCTGCTTAGAAAGCAATTTAATTTTTTGTTGATGAAATTTTCCTAGTGCGTGTTTGTTAAGAGCATCTTTTCCACTGATTATGTTAATGTCTTTGTCACAGGTNCGTCACTTCGAACCAGTTTCTGAAGAAGGTTGCAACATGGCATCCGAAACGTCAAACCTTTTATTAAAAGACGCACGGCAAAACCCGAAAGTTTCTAGTGTTAGTTCTAATCTTAGTTTAATAAGAAATCTAGAAACTTTAAAGTCAATAAACCACCGAATCACCGAAACCTTTCCAGTTTAATGCTTAGCAGTTGAACAGAACAAAAAAGAAATAAAGAACTTAAAAATTTTATTAATATTTGCTTCGCAGCCTTAATTATAAGAAAAGAGAATCAAAAACAATAGTATAGTTATAAAATGTTTAAAAAAAATTTATTTAAACATTTTTATTAACATTTTACTTTCTAACGTTTTTTTACAAACTCGATAAGAACATTTATTTTACGTTTTACAAAAAATGTATTAACATTTTACTTTCTAACGTTTTTTTTATAAAGTCGATAAGAACATTTATTTATTTTACGTTTTTTACAAAATCGATGAGATGGGCTGGATTCCCTTTTCCGACATCTTTTACTCCTTTGAATATTAAGCTCATACCTCCTAGCTCAGTAATTTCACCATCCGTAATCACCTCTGCGATGCGTTTAGGTAAGAAAACGGAGAATCCATCCTCCAAATCTACGATAACTGATGGCCATGCGCATGATGTAATCCACATACAGAATATCATCCTTTCGATAAACTCTCCATATATTATTGTGAAATTCACAAAACTATACAAATTGCGAATCGTTCATTTTATCACCGTCGAAGTCTTCTATTCCTAGAAGTACGAAATAGAAACTTGTGTTTAAGCACTGCTTCAAATGAAGATGGATGTCGGTCCAAGACATTATGATGGTGATGTGAACACTTCAATTTTTAATAGTCAACTGAAGTAAATATGATTTAAATTTACAATTAAATAATAAACTAAGTCACAAGAGATTTAAAACACATTTTTGTACAAGGTTATTTACATATTTTAAAGTTAGNCGCAACGAAATTCCACCTAAACACTGCTACAATGCATTTCAAATGGAACTGATTTCGTTGACGCGGCGCGTCCTGACGGCTCAGCGATCAGCCGTCGACGGTTGCGTCTCGATCGTTATGATACCAGTCGAGACGCGAACGACTTGTACAAACGCGTATCAAATTTAACAAATTTATTTGAAATTTTGTTGAAATAAATATCGAAAATGTCGCAGAAATTTTCGCGTGTTAATGACGAACAGTTGGTCGAACAAGTGCGTGAATATCCATGCATATTTAACCACGAAAATACAGATTTTAAGGATTTTCAAATTCGAGAAAACGCATGGAATCAGATTTCTGCTGTATTATCGAAGACCCGTGAGTATAAATAAATCATTTAATATCTAATATGTAATTACTTATTAGAAGAATATTCGTATACTTTTATTTCGATTGTGATTCAAATTTCATATTGATTTCACACATTAATTAGTTTTATTTTAATGACTTTATTGAATGCATAAGGAATAGGTAACAAATAATTTTATTATTAACTAGATAATCTAAAAACACGTTCGTTCTGCCACTGGGTTGCGCCTTCTTCATTAAAAAAGTCTGCAAACTGGTCTCTTACTTCCAATCCATCTGCACTTGCAAAGCCTCCTCTTGCTATTAAGGGAGTCATGTTTTTCGGCATTTCTACATCGGATTCATATGTGTAAAATGGATGATTATTTTTCAACTCAGAACATTGCTACAATTCCGTTAACAAAGGACATTGCTACAATTCCGTTAACAAATGACATTGCTACAATTTCCTTCTGTGATTTCGTTAACAAATAAGACAACTGCAATGAATGATACCCTGATCGCCGCCGTGCCAGTTACGTTACTTCAAGATATAAACAAATTATTTATGTATTGAAATATTCAAAAAATGTTTCCTTTTATTTGTATTTTTATGTAAAGTTACCCATTAAAAATAATGTGTTAAATCTTGCACAAATAGTTTATTAAACTTTCCCTTACCTTAATGTCAATGCTAATTTTTCCTCTGCAGAAATTGGGATTTTTACACTATTTGTGGACTGTTTAGTTAAATCTGTATGGATTAGATTCAGGACAAAATTAAACTGATCTTTATTTAGTCTAAAAAAGCTACGAAATTTTTCATCGTCGGAATTTAGATGGCTTTTTATAAGTATTTGATAATATCCTTCTTTTTTCCGAGATTTGTAAAAGTCGTTAGATTGTTCCCGTGTGGATAACAACAGGCTCATACAATCGTCATCATCATCTTCTTCTAACAAAATTAATGTCTATTAATATTATTACTTCTCATCCTGTTAGATTATGTAAATAAAAAACTTTGCTTTTCAGAAAAAGAATTAGTCGAAACCGGTAGAGCCGAAAATAAAAGATACCCTTCTGAAAAGCAAAGTTTTTTATTTACATAAAATTAATGTCGCTAAACTTTTCTCATTCATTTTAAGGCACGTTTCACTTCAGAGCTATGCTGAATACTACTTGATACTACTGCCCACCTTAATACTTTTGAACTAATTATCTACCCTATTGTATCACAATTTGTTATTAAAATAAAAATTTTTATATAAGTATTTATTTTTTTTAGTTGTAAAGAGGATTCTTGTCTTCATTAAAAAGGTTTTAAAAATTTTTAAGTAAGTAGTAAGGTTTTAAGTAAATGTTATTATTAATATTAATTATTGTTTAAGCTGTTATGACAAAATGCATATTGATTACCTCGACAATTATATAATATGTGTAACAAACGAATATTGCAAAATGCGTTTTATGCGAGCGTATCCGGGCGAAAAAGTTGTCGGTAATTCAGGGACCAAATAGTTACGGTAGTACAAAATCTCTGAATTACCGACAATTTTTTCGACAATAAATTTCGCCGGGAATCGGGATAGGTACATCGATTGTAGTCAGTTAAATTCATCGACTTGGCAACGCCGCTCGCTTCGCTCACTCTGGATGGAGCATCACAGCAATATTACCCGGGTTTGTTTTTCCCAGACATATACAGAACCCCTCACTTCACCTTGTCCACAAACTCCAGTTTGTATACAAACTGCACTGTTTGTAAACATTGGCGTGTTTATGTCAACGAGTTAATTTTTTGTACAGTGACCTGTAATAATAAGATTAGAAACATATTTTTGCATATAAAACACTTTATTGCAAGCGACATAAATAATAAAAATAATAATTTAATGAAAATGAACAAAAGTTAAAAATTAATATCATAATAATTTTTTTTATTGTTTTCAAAAGTCAAACACAAACAAAACAAAAACATACTTGTATACAAACACCCATAGAGTAATAATCACAGAGCGAACACTCTTCTGTGTATGTATGGGACATAACAAACCGTTCAATGCTCTATCCAGAGAGAGCGAAGCGAGCGGCATTGCCAAGTCGATGGTTAAATTGTTCATTCTTGTTTAAGCGCTTTATATTGGTGATAGTGTTATTTTTCATTACAGTTTGTTGATTTTTTTGAGTTACGTAAATAATTTATTTCTTTAAAAAAACGTCGCCATATTATATTAGGTAATATTATTTTAAATTTACACAACTTTTGGCTTTGTAGTTAAAAAAAAATATTTAAAATAAAATAATGCGTCTAGTCTATTTCCGGTTGCCTATTACTCATTCGCGCAGAGTAAAAACTACGTAATTTAAATTTACGTGTACCCAACCGCGATTATTTTTTGTTTTTATCATGATTTTTTGATGTTATAGATTATCTAATCATGAAAAGGGTAAAAGAGAGCGGAGCATGGTACCGAAATAAAAAGAGAGCTAGGGAGGACAGTATGAGAAAAAATGAAGGAGCTATACTAAAATTTATGAAATGTTCTTCTGAGACGACAGAACCTACGCCAGGACTATCAAGTATGAGTTCTTCACAGAGTAGTGTTGCTCAAGAAGAAGCAGAAGTAATACAAGTACAAGTATGCGAATCTGATAATTTACAAGAACCTGTAATTGACGTTACGAATTCGTCAGCTTTACGCGTTTTTGATCCGATTCTTGAAATTACGACACCTGAACCACCTGTAACCGCATCAACTAGCCCATATTATTTAGAAAATGATATTAGAAAGTGGCCTGAAAGTATAGATTCACACACGCGATTGTTATTGGTTCGGCGAGGTCCAGAAGCCTTTCAACACATTAATACCGACTTTGCTGAAGAGCCAACAGTAACACGCACGGTGAAAGCACAGTCAGACACGGATTGTACCACATTGAAAATATTGTCAAGGAGGCGGCTAACGCGAGAATGGTTTTAGCGCACATTGACAAATGGCGAAAAAATGTTGGGTACTTGGATGGCATATTCTCCTTCAAAAGCTTCATTATTTTGTTTCTGTTGTCGGTTGTTTGAAAACGCAAACTCACCAAACGCATCAAAGTTTTATTCTTCTGAAGGATTTAATACTTGGTGGAAACTGAACCCAAAAGTTTCCAACCATGAATCAAGTGCAACACACAATCAGAATTTTTGCAAATGGAAGGAATTGGAATCAAGACTTCGAAAAGGACAATCTATTGACAAAGGAAACCAAGAAAATGTGACAAAAGAAATTAAAAACTGGCATGAAATCCTAACTAGAATGTTTGATATAATAAAATTTCTGGCAAAGCAAAATTTGACGTTACGTGGGCACAGGGAAAATGACACCAGTGCTAATAAAGGCAATTTTTTAGAAATGGTGCACTTACTGGCAAAGTACGACCCTGTTTTTCGAGAGCATTTAGTAAGAATAAAAATGGGTCACAAAATTTCACTTACGTATATGTCACCAGAAATTCAAAACGAGTTTATAGAAATTTTAGGGAATAAAGTTCGGCAACAAATTATAGGTCAGATCCAAAAGGCCAAGTATTATTCCATAATATTCGACAGTACCACCCCGGATCTTTCTCACAAAGATCAAACTAGCCAAGTCTTGCGGTACGTGATGATCGAGAATAGAGAAGTTCGA